CAATACCTTTATGGACAGAATAATGGAATAAATTAGTTGGTGTAAAGAAATTCATATTTAAAAAAATAAAGTTGACTTCAAAATATTCCTAACATACGCTTACATCCATAAAATAATTATTTCCACTATATGATTCCTCTTTATACTGAACACATTGGTATAAATTACTTTTTCATATATCTTCAAATTACGCTAATAATTAGATCAGTTATTTTATAAAAATGCTGTATAGTCTTACCGTGTCCATGCCAGGATATTTTGTCTTATTTTTCTCAAATTTATCATATTTCTCTTTGATTACTTCTTGTATACAGATTTTAGCGTTCTCTGAATTCATATGTGCTAGATCATAAAGATAAGGACATAATCTAAAATAAAAGTTACACATTAATAATAGGCATTATTATATACATATAAATATATATGCATTTATAATATAAAGCTAATAAAAGCAATAAGTATACATTTATATCTATTTTATTTATTTATTATACCTGTCAAAGATTTGAAAACATTTAATTAAATCATCAGCACTTTCTGTGGAAGCACAGTTGTTTATATGTTGTAATAAATATACAAATAAATTAGACATTTTTTCTTTGTTTCTGCCATCTAATGTCCAATGATTACATTTTATAATACGATCTACGATCACTGATTGATAATCTGCATTATGATGTTCTAACAATTTTTCTAATTCTTCAAAACTCTCTGGAGCACTATATGTGTAAGATAATTCATTTCGTGCCTTTTCCATAATCTCTTTTCGTTTCAAGAGATCATTTCTAATCTGCTGTATTTTGTCACATGAATTTTGTACATGTGTACTATTACTTTGTTTCAGTATTGATTTATGAGAAATCTTATTCGACTGATTTATCTGTTTAGTATCTTCTGTCAGATCATTACTAAACATAACACGCTTTTTACTTTCATTTACAAATGCAACTTCCGTTTCACTTTCATTTTCACAAGATGATTCAGACATTTTTAAATCTGAGAGATCATCTTCAGACTCATCATCCAAATTTTCACTCTCTGAATCTTTGTCATTCAAATCAGACTTGTCTTTGGTAGTAGATGATTTTGAATACATTCTTTCTTGATTTTTACTACTATCCTTTCTTGTATTTATGTTTTTAATTATTTCCTCATCAACAGTGTCTTCTAATTCATTTTCTGTTTGTTTATCCTCATTATAATCATCTTCATCATCATTTTCTTCATTAATATTGGTATCAATAATTGAATCATCAATAATGTCATCAGTATCTTCAATAGTTTCCATTATAAAACCATCATCGAGATCATCTGCAGATTTATGCCTGAATTGACTACCAGTATCGCTTATAAATCCTTTCATTCTTGCCAATCTATCAGCTTCAAGTTTTTCCAATTTCTCTTTTTCTTCTTGAATAATCTGTTCTTCTGATTTCAATTTCTCGGATGGATTACCTCTAGCTTCAAATTTTAATTGTCGTACAGCAATATCATAAGTATCAGTTTTCGTGGTTTTATCATCTTCCATAGATCTTTTGGAAGCAGACATAACAGGTAAAAGGTCTTTCCATTCAGAATCAAGTTTCTCTGTGAGATCTATTGTTTCCTTGCGTATTTTTTGTTTTTCTGCCTTCTGTTTTTTTGATTCTGCAATGAGCTGATCAATTAGATCTTTTCTAGATAATGTGGAATCTACTTTCGATAAAATGCCTCCACCAAAATGAGCTTCTTGTACAAAATTTCTATCCAGCTTGCCACTAACATTTTCATTATCGCTTAATTCGTCGTCGCTTCTAGGATCATCAAATTTCTCAATCTCTTCAAGAGTTTGTCCTCTGTGTGTCAATGTTTCATCATTTAAATTAAAAATGCTTTCTTTTTTATACGCTTTCATGCGTTCTTTAGCAAACCTTGCTGTTGCCTTATCTTCTATGCTCATAGAACAATTCTTTTCACCAATACGTTTATCTAAAAAAACATTGTTTTTATTTTTTAATGTATACTCTTGAAGAAGGCTCTGTTTACGCCTATTAATAGCTTTTGCTCTTGAAATTCCTGGAAGTCCATGATCATTTTTACTCTTACGACCCAATACTTTCTGTTTGTCCCTATTAATATGTACTTCAAATGGATTTAGCTGTTTCTTGTTTTTTTGTTGTACAGATTCGGATAAGTTTTTTTTCTTTGTTTTAACCATTTTATGTAAAATCTGATCTACAATTGCATAAACATAGTTGTAAGTGGTCGTAGTTGTAACAATTCGTCAATTATAGTTTGCGCAATTGTAGATCGGGCTTAACAGTTTTACGTGATAACGATATCATTTATCATATAAAAACTCAAGCAAAACAATCTAGTTTTGTGCTATTTATATTTAAATGTATATCTTCAAGTGTTACTATCAAAACATGACCATCAATTGCGGCGCTATAAAATGATAATAAACATTTTATCAGTATACAATTTTTATAAACAATGTTTTATTATATGGTAACTATTTACTTTAGCCACATCACCTCACAAATCGATGAAATTAGGCTCATTCAACGAATTTTCATTCAAAACAAACGAATTTGGCCAAGAAAAGCGTTCTGTCCCGCAAACCGAGATATTATTTTTAAGGAGGTTCTCGCGCTATTTCCTAGTCAATAGACAGTTTACTCATAATAATATGTAAAACAATTAAAATAATGGAATAAAGAGGTTATTAACAATACCTTATGCCATTGTACATAATTATCATTAATTTTATATGTTACTAAAAATATTTACAAAATGACAAAACAAAAGTTGTAAGATGCTTACTTAATGTATGTACATGCATCGTCCATTTGATGAATATTCTAGCTTCTTTCATTGAATATAAATTTCTTGTAAACTGCATGGTTAATTCAAATAAAACTTTACGAGAACAAACTTAAGTGTTTACTTTATAATTATAACGATTTTTAAATTGTCTTATACGCAAATGTCTCAATTGAAAAAAGAATACATACCTTCAACTTGTAATGTAAAATTCTATAAATTTATAATTAAATATCACAAAATGGTACGGTAAAAGTCAATGAAATTTTTTCATATTGTTGATATTATTAACTTTTGATGTATATTATAGACTTGTCTTATATTTTATCAAACACGAGAACTTCTTTAAGGTAAATTTTTACACTATTGAGGTTAGGAAATCTGTAACTAATTATGTGGCTAAAGTAAACAATTATTATAAATATTTTCGTACTTACATAATGTAAATTTTTGTAATATATTAAAAATTATTTATATGAAATTTATTTGCAATAATTCACGTACATATATTCACACGTGCTTTATCATAAAACTAAAATCTTGAATCATGTAAGAATTGAAATCTGTGTTTTATTCTTGCACTACCTGAACTAGTGCACATGGTGCAATAAAGGTGCATTCACATGCAATCGTCAAGCAGCGGAAGCAACAACCAATCAACGAGGCGATTTTTAGTGGCGTAAAAAATATTTTTTATGGGTGAAGTATTCTTTGAACTTACCAGGAGATCCAGAATATAAAATTTAACGCTTGCGAATATATGAACTCTTGAAACACTTGAACCAATAATAATATAGTTACTACCCAACCCTGGTAGTATTTAAAACCAATAATTATTTACATATAATAATCAAATAAGAAACAAAAGAATTTCATATTCTGCGATTCCATGAAAAAAATTTGGAATATGTTGTGAGAATTTTTATTACCCCGGATCTACAATAGGTGTTTTAAGCCTTAAGCCGTAAGAAATTGACCAATTAGTCCGGATCTACAATAGGTGTTTTATGCCTTATGCCGTAAGAAACTGACCAATTACAGTCGAATCCGAGAAGAATAAGCGACTGTGATTCGCCCATTTCTTATGGCTTAAGGCTTAAAACCCTATTGTAGATCCGGGGTTACAGTCGAATCCGAGAAGAATAAGCGACTGTGATTCGCCCATTTCTTATGGTTTAAAGCTTAAAACCCTATTGTAGATCCGGACTTAAGTCGGCGGCACACGATGCTTGTTTTCCTGCTGGATTGCTAGCTGGATTAAGCCGGCGGCACACGATGCTTGTTTTCCTACTGGATTGCTAGCTGGATTAGAATCTTGCCACCGTATTGGCTGCGATGCTGGCACTGTCAGCATCGCAGCCAATACCATGGCAAGAATCTAATCCAGCTAGCAATCCAGTAACAAAACAAGCATCGTGTGCTGCTGGCTTTAGACAATGGGTGACAATGGCGAAGGTCGCGGTCCGATACACGCTCACACGCTTAAAAATCATTTCATCCTTGTTGTTTGTCAAATGTTAAACGAAGACAAACAATGCTCATGAGCGTTGTCAGCATGATTCGGACCACGGCCCTAGTTTACACCCAGGGTTCGATCCGAGTCGGAATGTAAGCCCGGATCCTCATACGGGCAACAGCGCTTTGACTGGCTTTGACACAGAGCTCTGATTGAAAAGCCGGTTGTGGGGGTAAAATTTACCTTCATCATCCGTTTTTCACCAATCAGCGTTCGGTGTCAAAGCGCTGTTGCCCATATAAGGATTCTGGCTAAGGGTGGAGTCCCATGAAGCGTATTTGCCGCGTATTGCGTAACCGCGTAACCAATCAATAATCAGTAAAACACGAAATCACAACAGCGGATCGCTTCTGATTGGTTACGCGGTTACGCGATACGCGGTAAATACACCTCATGGGACTCCAGCCTGAGAACCAACCAACTGCAGTCGAGTATTCCTCTGTTACAGTCGAATGACAAGGGAATGCCCGACTGCAGTTGGTTGGTTCTTACATTCCGACATTTCCGACTCGGATCGAACCCTGGGTGTAAACGAGGCCAATGGGTGCTTTCCATTTGATGACACAAGTGTCGTTCTATCTTTGTCACTCTCTGAATGTCAACAAGGATAGAACGACGCTTGTGCTGAATATTTACCTATATAATTGGAGTTCATTTTTAATTAATAGGGTAAGACGGGGGAATATGCCAGTTGGGGGAATATGCCACTCGTTATGTTTAACTTAACAGATACCGATTAGTAGCGCTTGCGTCAGTGCTACAAAATTGTGTATAATTGTGTGCTTAAAATATTGCATAAGTAGCAACAATTTCCTGACAACAGTATTGTTTTTATGAGGTAAATATGACGACATAATATATGAAAACGTGCTTCTTATAACTTTCATAGTGTTTTATGCAAGCTATTATTTAAGCGTTACACAATATTTAGCTCGAATAACTTGTTAACCTATTAATATGGATTAAAACGAATATATTCAGTACGTCGTTGATTTATTTTCTTAACAGTCGTATTGTACAGGCTCATCATAAGATAAAATGGCGTCTTGGGGTAATACGCCACTACTTTTGTTAGGGTAAAATGCCAGTAAGCCAGTACTATCATTTCCTCTAATATAGGTTAGGTTGCTATAAACAAACGTTTTGCCACATAGTTCCGTTGTGACAGAATGTCCGTATTGACAAATAATTAATAAATAAACTTAAATATTTGTTTATTATTATATTATTTTAATGCTCTATTCAAAATTCTGAATAGAAAATGCAGTTTTTCAATCCATTTTAACAGATTAAATTTTCTTAATTATTAGAGAGAATAAGAATTTAGACATCTTGTAACACTATGTAAATGTAAATAAAGTAAAATAAATATATATATTTATACATTTCATACTTACACATTACATACTTTTACACATTTATACGTTTCATACTTACACATCACATACTTTTACACATTTCAGACAAGAATGCCTCGAATGTATACGAGGAAGACTAATCGGGCTACCTGGAGTCAGGATTCATTAACAGAAGCTATTGATCAGATTTCTCAAAATAAAATGAATATATGGAATGCTTCAAAATATTATGATATACCTTATCGGACTCTTAAAAGGCGGATCAACGAAAATAATTTCAATAAAGGAGCTCTAGGTCGACCGGCTTTTCTTGGTGATCATGAGTCAAAACTCATAACTTATATACAGAAGATGGAAAATACAGGGTTTCCACTGACTGCAAATGCTATCCGCAAATTAGCTTTTACGTTTGCATTAAAGAATAACCTTCTTAATAAATTCAGTCAGAATACAGAAATAGTTGGATATGACTGGTTTTGTAGTTTTATGAAACGACATCCTAAATTATCAATAAAAAAAGCCGAAGGAATTTCTGTTGCTCGTGGATTAGGTATGTGCCGAGAAGAAGTTGACAATTATATTCAACTTTTATTAAAAATATGTGAGAAGAATAATGTTTTTTAGGTATGTGCCGAGAAGAAGTTGACAATTATTTCCAACTTTTATTGAAAATATGTGAGGAGAATAATCTCTTTGATCAACCGTTCAAAGTTTATAATGTCGACGAAATCGGTCTGCAATTAAATAACAATGTGAGCAAAGTTGTTACAACCAAAGGGTCACAAACAGTACATCATGTAACTTCAGCAGAAGAGGGGGAAACTATCAATGTTATTGCCTGCTGTAATGCCGAAGGGAACTTTTTACCTCCTTATTGTATATTCAAAGGCCAAAGGAAAAGACCTGAATTCGAAGATGGACTTCCTCCTGGATCTCATGTTGAAATGGGAGAGACAAGCGCCTATGTAAATTGTCAATTGTTTCTCGCTTGGCTTAAGGATCATTTCATTCCACGTAAACAAAATGGGAAAGTGTTGTTAATATTAGATGGTCATACCTCGCATTGCTCAGACATCAATGTACTTGACTTTGCAGCTAAAAATGATATAATTTTACTTTGCCTTCCAAGTCATACTACCCATTATTTACAACCATTAGACAGGTCATTTTTTAAACCTCTCAAAACATATTGGCAAAGAGTCGTTACTAATTGGATTATTAGTCATCCTGGACAAAGGCTAACTAGATACCAATTTGGAGATTTGTTATGTAATGCTTGGAACCTTGCAACAACAGTAAGCAACGGTACATCGGGTTTCAAAGCTTGTGGAATATTTCCATACAATCCTGCACAAATACCAGAGCATGCATTCAGAATATCTAATACTTCGGAAGAACTGAAAGATACCTCTACTGAGCCAAAAAGTAAAGTTTTGAATACATTATCGAACAACGAAGAATCAACCGATATCAGCCAAGTAACTTTATTTCTTGTTCAATCCGTATATGATCATAATGAAAATGTTGATGAACCATCGACATCGGTCAGTTGCCCTTTGACCAGGTAACTGCATCTATTTCTACTCCCACTCTCTTTACATTTGACAAAATTGCACCTGTGCCAGTACTTAAGAAACCTAAAGTCACGAAAAGAAAACAACATGCTCAGGAGTTTTTCCTATCTACTTATGTAATAAATAATAAACTAAAGCTCGTTTTAAAACTTACTCTGTAAATCATTTAAACCCTTATGTTTGTCTCTTCTCATAAGGTCACAAGAATACAGAAAAAGTCTGAGAAAATAAATTAAGGAATAAGGATAAAAAGAATTATTTCAGAAATTAGACGTTATTAAGAAAGAAAAGAAAGTAAAGGTCAATAAGAAAAAGAAAGTGTGACGTCATTAAGAAAGAGAAGAAAGTAAAAAAGAAGAATACCCATGATTCAAGTGGTTTGGAAAAAGTAGAAAAGAAAGTCAATACTACTGACGAGGACAATAATTACTGCGCTGGATGCAACGTATATTACTATTTTAAAAATGGCCCAAAATGTGATTGGATATCTAATTGTTGCAGTAAATGGATTCACGAGGACTGTTCGTCGAAAGATACATTCTGTTAAAAACGTTATACCTCAAAGTTTAGTTTACATGTTATGTTTATAACTTAACCCAATCTATCGAAGTTACCTATATTACCTATAATCTTATATTGTTTATATTACCTAATTTATTTTTATCATAAAAAAATCATTAATATGTTCTTGCAATAAAAAACAAAATAAATATTGTAATTAGCATTTTTTTGTACGTAGCATATTACCCTATACTTGGTGGCATATTACTCATTTTTCAGCACTTTTGTATTTCTTTATTTTTAATAACAAAAAATGAATATATTCGATTCCAATTATACACAAATCATAGATAAAGGCTGGAAGAAAAAGATCAGTATGTAAAGTTATTTTA